TTTTAATGCACACCTCTCCTCTACACCCTAGCTTTTGCTCCTTTAACCCTTTGACTGTCGCGGCCGTATATATACGTTTTACGAGGTGCCGTGTTTGACGTATATATACTCATAAATTCTAGCGGCTTCAAATCAAGCAGGAGAAAGCTGGTAGGCCCACATGTGAGAGAATGGGTCTGTGTGGTCAGTGTGCACCATATAAAAAAAATCCTGGAGCACGCAGTGCATAATGAGAAAAAAAAAACTCCGACCATTTTTTTTAATTAAAATGCCGACTTTGTGGTCTATTTTCGTATAGTATTTATGGTTGTATTCTCGTTTTCTTGGTCTCATTTGATAGAGTGGAAAGCATATTACAGAAATAGAGATGTTTTTGATTGATTTTACTATAAAAAGAACCTAGAAATGGAGCTCAAAGTAGGGGAAATGTTTGATTTTTGCCAATGTTCAAAAGTAAACAAATGATGCCATTGTCCAATAAATGTCCAACTAGCCATTCTAATATGCAGTCATGAATGGGTTGATGTTATTTATACAGTTATTACAGTATTGCAGTAGTTTGCATAATAGTAAGTCTAATATTTTTTGTTTGAATAAAAATTCAAAATAGAAAGCAAGAGTAATATCAGAGGGGCCTGGAGACGTGACTGATGAACAAAGAAAACGTTATTTTAGAGCCTGGAATGTCTGCATTGTTCATTCTGGACCTTATTTTGAAATTGTCATATTTTTTAGTTTTCGTGAAATTGGCCAAATTGCAAATTTCTGACCACATTATTAGGTAGTTGAAATCAGTAAATGGGCAGTTTCTTGTACTCAATCGATAGAAAAAATGAAGTTCTAAAGAAATAGCTATGAGTTTGGGCGACTAGAACAATGGAATTAGCCGAAAATAGGGCTCAAAGTGGGCGAAATCGCCGATTTGTAAACAGCGCCGAGGTCGCTAACTTCGCGAGAGCATAATTCCGTCAGTTTTCCATCAAATTTCGTTTGTTTGGTGTCATTACAATCGGGAAAAGATTCTCTATCATTTCATAAGAAAAAATAATTTTTTTTTTTTTAAATTTTGCGACACCAGGAGACACCTCAGGATTGGGGGTTGCGACAGTCAAAGGGTTAAAACTCCATCTATAAATACTATGTTAAACAACCATGTGACATTACACATTCCTGTTTAAGGCCTACTTTTACTGAGAAATATTTCCCCTTCCTTCTACATATCTTAACCCTTTCAGGGTCCGTCCCGTAGATCTACGGCTTTACGGTGAGTGTCCAAACCGTAGATCTACGCCATGAGCTCAGCTCACTCTGATAAACTGTGAGTGGTACATTTGGGCCTAGATATGAGAGAATACATCTATGTGGTATATGTGCACCACATAAAACAGATCCTGCAGCACACTGTGTATAATGAGAGAAAAAAGCTGAAATCATGATTTTTCGATTAAAACAGCAACTTTGCAGTGTTTTTTCGTATGTTTTTTAAAGTTGTATTTGCGATTTCTTGGTCTCATTTGATAGAATGGAAGACATATTACAGAAATAGAGATGATTTTGATTGGTTTTAGCATTGGAAATGGCTTGAAACTGAGCTCAAAGTAGCGGAAATGTTAAATTTTTGCCGATATTCAAGAGTAAACAAACGACCTCACACGTCTAATACACGTCAGCTGGTGGGTCTAATATACATTCACAAATATGGTGATGATATTTATACAATTATTACAGTATTGCATAACAGTATATCTTCTATTTTTTGGTGTGAATAAAAATTCATTATGTGAATAAAAAATCAAAATGGAATTTATTTGTAAAGCCTCAAAACATAACTAATGAACAGAGGAAATGTTAGTTTAGTGCCAGGAATGTCTACATTGTTTATTCTGGACCCTATTTTGAAATTGGAATATTTTGAACTTTGTGTTAAATTGGCCAAATTAACAATTTCCGATCACTTTATTTTGTAGTTGAAACAGTTGACTTGGCGATTTCTTGTGCTCAATCGATAGAATAGAAGTAATACTAGTGAAATAGCTAAGAATTTGGTTGATTGGAATAATGTAATTGGCCGAAAATGGAAGTCAAAGTCGGCAAAATCGCTGATTCGTAAATATCGCTGACACATCAAAATTCGCGAGAGCATAATTTCGTCAATTTTCCACCAAATTTTGTACTTTTTGTTTTATTACCTTCACAAAAAGATTCTCTACGATTTCATAAGAAAAAATAACAAATTTTTTTTTTTGAAAATTTTTGGACACTGGTGCGTGACTCCAGATTTGGGCCTTGGACCCTGAAAGGGTTAACCCTTTGACTGTCGCGGCTGTATATATACGTCTTACGTCCTGGTGTCGCAAAATTTCAAAAAAAAAAAAAAAATATTTTTTCTTATGAAATGATAGAGAATCTTTTCCTGATTGTAAAAACGAAATTTGATGGAAAACTGATGGAATTATGCTCTCGCGAAGTTAGCGACCTCGACGCCGTTTACAAATCGGCGATTTCGCCCACTTTGAGCCCTATTTTTGGCTAATGCCATTGTTCCAGTCGCCCAAACTCATAGCTATTTCTTTAGAACTCTATTTTTTCTATCTATTGAGTACAAGAAACTGCCCATTTACCGATTTCAACTACCTAATAATGTGGTCAGAAATTTGCAATTTGGCCAATTTCACGAAAACTAAAAAATATGACAATTTCAAAATAAGGTCCAGAATGAACAATGCAGACATTCCTGGCTCTAAAATAACATTTTCTTTGCTCATCAGTCGTGTTTCCAGGCCCCTCTGATATTACTCTTGCTTTCTATTTTGAATTTTTATTCAAACAAAAAATTGAAGACTTACTATTATGCAGACTACTGCAATACTGTAATAATTGTATAAATAACATCAACCCATTCATGACTGCATATTAGAATGGCTAGTTGGACATTTACTGGAAAATGGCATCATTTGCTTACTTTTGAACATTGGCAAAAATCAAACATTTCCCCTACTCTGAGCTCCATTTCTAGGTTCTTTTTATAGTAAAATCAATCAAAATCACTTCTATTTCTATAATATGTCTTCCATTCTATCAAATGAGACCAACAAAACGAGAATACAACCATAAATACTATACGAAAATAGACCACAAAGTCGGCATTTTAATTAAAAAAACGGTCGGAGTTTTTTTTCTCATTATGCACTGAGTGCTCCAGGATTTTTTTTATATGGTGCACACTGACCACACAGACCCATTCTCTCACATGTAGGCCTACCAGCTTTCTCCTGCTTGATTTGAAGCCGCTAGAATTTATGAGTATATATACGTCAAACAAGGTACCTCGTAAGACGTATATATACGACCGCGACAGTCAAAGGGTTAACAGTTATGCTCACTGTTGTATTCACAAAAACTCTTTACTGCTTTTAGTAGTTAATCCACTATCCATTCCCTACAGCTGAAACATTTGCCACATTGGCTCCCTATCCAATGTATCATATGCCTCTTCCAACTCAACAAATGTGACAAACAGTGCTTGCCTTTAAATATGGTGTGCTTCACATGGTCTACACATCATGTACCCTTCCTAAATCCTCCTTATCCCTCAACATTCCTACTCTGCCTTATCCCTAATGCTTTCAATAAAAAATTACCCCTCTCTCTCTCTCTCTCTCTGCCCCTTTTTCCTTTTTAAATTAGTGAACCAAATTACTGATGCATGGCTGAGTCTTAATTTATGGCATAACTATTAGTTTTGAAATAGATGCTTCAATCAGATATCAAGAAAAATAGACTGAATATAAATACCCAGTTATGAAAAATCGTCCAGTACTTGTAACAACCATGAAACAATATCAATATTTGTGATAAAAAGCTTGCAAATATTGTTATCAATGCAATTAACAAAGCAGCACAGACAAAACACACCTAGAACTGTATCCAACAATTGAAGCTGAGGAGTAACATGCACTTTGAAGAGAATCTTTATCATGACAGGACTTTATATACTGAAACTATATGCATCAACTATCATATAATAAATCATACAGTAAAATGAAGTGTACTCAAACAAGTCTTTATTATACTGTTCAATAGTTTCATAAAAATTATTTAATTTATACTTAAGGTGTACCTGAAAGATAGATTTATAATGGACAGGGTTTGAAAATTACAGAAAAATAGAGAACCATAGAAGATAAGTTAGAGATAAGTGATAAAGAAAAGACTTTTGGAAGTAAAGTCATTAATGATATGAAAATGGAAAGTAGGACCAGTTGTGCACAATATGTATGAGGTCACTCAAACTTTTACCCCCTCGCAAGCTATAGTAATTGTTCATCAGAGTACAAATATTCAGAAAATATTTTTTTAGCATGTTAGACATCACATTACAAATGTCTCTGTGAACTACAACATCCTCACCAATCCTTCAGAGAGCAGGCACTGTACTTCCCACCTCCAGGACTCATGACCAGCCATTGTAATAGGCCTAACAATATTTGTACAGTAACTAGTAACTTATCAAAATAGATAATTTTATAAGACATCATGAAATTATGTTACCTTTTAAAATTGGAGAAAATGTATCCCTGAACCATCCTGCCATTTTCAATTTGCAACACATGATACCTAGCATAGAATTTAATATATGATTTTTTTTTATGCGAAGAAATTTGGATCACATGTAAAAGGGAGTTTTCATCTTTTTACTTCTACAGGATTTAAATTTTGTAGAAAAGTTTAAAACATTCAGAAAATAATTTAGAAAAATATACTTATCAACTGGATTTATATATACAGTATATATTTTGCAAAAGCATTAAGTAAAATTATGTTAGCAAAGAGAAGCTTAATATGATCACAAGAAATGTTTGAAGAGCAAATAAGAATGAGTTCTTCGGCAGAAAATGACTTGAATTAAACCAGATTCCACTCTGGCAATTCTAGATAATACTGGTAACTGTATGAAGGTCAAAATTACTTTAATACACTATTAGATACCTCTTCCACAGGGATGGACAGCTGGCACAACTAAGTAACCAGGAAACAGAAAAAGAGCAATTTTAGTTAGAGGAGAATTATTTCAATCAGAAAAAAGGTAACAGTAAGTATTAATGAAGATTAAGGAAATGATTAGACAATATTTGGTAGTGTACGTGTTTCTGCGTCTAATATATCATCTCTATGGTACACCACATTCAAAGTATGGTGAACATACTGTTCTTCAAAATTTACAGTTTGTGAGAGTATTTACACAGTGCTGCATAGCACTATTTGTCTAAATTCACTTCTAACCAGTATATCTGATATTACTATATAGGTGTTCCTCACTTAACGACCGAGTTCTGTTCCTAAGGGTAGGTTGGTAAGCGAAGTAGTTGTTAAACGAGGAGTATGCTGTACTGGTAGTGGGTTTGTGTCAACTGTTTTCAGATATTGTTTTAATGTCATTTCTGCACCAATTATAACATTTTTAGTAAATTTTTAAATGTTTATACAGTAGTGTACTATATACTGTAATAAACAGAATGGAGGAAATTAGCTCTATTATACATTACTTAAGTTTGAATACTGGTTGGAGAGCTGGTCGTAAGTCCAAGTGGTCATTAACCCATAAACGGTCCAAGCAGATCTACGTTCACATGTGTAGTGCTCCAAAAGTAGATCTATGTTTTTTTTTACATATTTTCAAATATAACAAAAAAAGTAGATCAAAATTTTTTTTTACACCTTTTCAAATGTAAAAAAACAAATAACAAAAAAGGCACAATACCGTGACTGGAACGATACACAAATAACCCGCACATAAAAGAGAGAAGCTTACGACGACGTTTCGGTCCGACTTGAACCATTGACAAAGTCACACTAACCAGAGGTGGAGCAGGACGGCTATATATAGGGAGGAAGATGTGGTGGTGGTAGTAGTAGTAGTAGTACAAGAGTTGTACATAATACCGACAAGATGAAATTAAGACACATGCACAACACCCGGGCATCCCCATATAGCCGTCCTGCTCCACCTCTGGTTAGTGTGACTTTGTCAATGGTCCAAGTCGGACCGAAACGTCGTCGTAAGCTTCTCTCTTTTATGTGCGGGTTATTTGTGTAAAAAAACAAAAAGAAGATCTACTTTTTTTACATACTTTCAAATGTTGAAAAAACGTATATACATGTATACGTTTGGACCGTTTACGGATTAAACAGGTAGGTCATAACGTGAGGAGTACCTGTATACTACTATATGCAGATTCATATTTTTTTACCATGTCAGCTATTTTCCACCAAGAGAGGGTGACCTCAAAGGAATAACGTTCACCATCATTCATTCAATACCTGTCTTGTCAACAGTATATAGATATCACACTAGATATGACTTATATGTGCCTCACAAATAAAAGCATTATTATTTTCTAAACTAATGGTAAAATTAATTTCTAATCTATTTAATCATACGAGTATACTTACCATTAAAGTAGAATTGGATTTACAGTGGCCAGCCAGTAAGTAACGTTCTTTGGCATACTGTGGAGTGGCCAAGACATCATGGATAAACTTGCACAGCCTCTCCGGTCGTGTAGCTACAGGGGGAGCAGTTTCACCCTCTCCTCCCGAAGCAATGGAAGTAGTGGAAGTGGTCATTGCCTGCTCTGGTGTAGTTGTTGCTGACATTTCATCAATGTCACATGTGTCTACTCCTAAAACAGGATTTTCTAATTTACATCTAAAATAAAAATTGTAATATATTTGACAAAATATATTATGAGCATTTTATTAAATTTCTTATAAGGCTCTTCAGTCATAACAGTTTTATCTCAAAACAGTATTGTATTTTTTTTTATTTCAACAGCCATCTCCTGTCAAAGCAGGATAACCCAAAGAAGAGAACACATTCACTATCATTCACTCAATCGCTGTAGCCAGAAGTGAGCTGATTGTCCTATGACTTCAACATCCCTGCACCTTCCCTCAGAGTGCAGGCATTGTTCTTCCTACCTCCAGGACTCATATCTAGCTAACCAATTTTCCCTGAATCCCTTTATAAAAGTTACCTTCCTCAAACTCCAACAGCAGATCCATTAAAAACTGCATGTCTCCATTCACCCTTATCTAACATGCTCACACAAGCCTGTTGGAAGCTCAAGCCCCTAAAACTCGCAAAAAGACCTAGAGATCTTCCTTAAAGCAAAATTCCTTTAAGACAGAGATGTATAAAGAAATACAGGAATATGGTATGACAAAAGTTAATGCCATATACAAGATGTAATTAACATACAAGTCACAATTGTGGAACCTTAGCTGACCTTTGTTTTCAGTTAGAGGTTTTCGTCTTGAGCCAGTCTTTGCCTCTACTAATCTTTGTCTAAGCATTTGCAATTTTTCAACAGAGAGCTGCTTGAGCCCCAGGAGTCGTGATCTTGGGGGAGGACCTGACCGATGTAAGGAGCACCCAGGGCTCTCATCTTCAGGCCATTCTGCTGTGATATGTTCCAAGGGAAAGAGATACTGACTGCTGCGTTGCTCTAGCACTAAGCGCCACTGTCGATCTTCGGGTCCAGTTATCTATTAGAAAAAGAGCAAGGGGTATTGTTTTAACACAGCTTCAAGTCCCACTTTATTTTGATTTTAAAATTAAGAAACTACTAGAGAATTAATTACTAATTAGTAATCAGTGAATATGCAAGGTATAAACTATGAAGAAAGACTGCATGACCTACATTTTTTGTCATCAGAATTGGAAAAAAAAGGATACAACTACAATCATGAGAGAGAAAATACCTTGGGAATACAAGGTAGGCATGGATAGGCATTTTTTCAAGGATCCAGAGAAGAGCACGAAAACCAAACTGAATGACAGAAATGTCAAGATGTTTTCCTTCAACATAAGAGTAAAGAATAGGTAACCATTGTAACAGGTACATATGTGATACCTGTTTGAAAAAAAGGACACATGAGCAAACACAACATACTTTAATGAAAACATTTTGGTCTTCTTCCCTTCATGATACACAGGCTGTAAAAAAAAAAAAGGCCCAACTAACTGGTTTCCTTGAATTTGGTTGGCCTATGTATATTGCATTTCTTGTACCTGGTATATCAATGGAGTGAATAATGTCCCAGGATTGAAATGTTTCTATTAAAATGTCTTAAATGTTTGTTCATGTGTCTTTTTCTTCAACAGTAAATACTGAGCACATGCAACAGACCGGGGTTGAAACAAACTAAATAATAGAGCCAATCATCATTAATCAATTAAAAGTTCAGAGGGAAACAAAAGAGCTTGAGCCCACCCACTTTAAAAATAAATGGTTATTATATACAAAAGTATCTAGCCTATAAATCACAAGAACTTACCAGTAGGTAAACTGTATCCAGAGAGTTATCACGACACAAGTGAAGATGCTTCACAGGAACAGTAATATATGTTCCACCCACTTCCTTTCCACTACTAAGTTCAATGAAAGAGAGCTCCCCAAGCTCTGTGCCAATGATGGCCAGGGATGCATCCCCTACAAGTGTCTGCCACCTGATACAAAAAAAAAAAAAACTGAATTTTTAATTTTAGTTATAATCAATTAGCTTACCTCAATATGACCCATGTTGATTACAGGATTAGTCTTTACTCTAAACAGGTCCAAGATAGAAGTTTAATCAACATTTAGTTAAAAAAAATAAGTACACTTTTATATTTATATTACTCCTGATAACAAAAAAATAGTTACAGCTGCTCCTTGCTGATGACAGGGATGCAAAAGTTACTGGAGGTATTTGGCAGGATATATAAAAGGAGGAAATTAAATGAGAGTATAAGAAAGAGCAAGGCGATGAGAGTAACAAAAAATCTAGACAAGAAAAGATATATTTTCATATAGTCGGACTTGAGTCCTGGAAATGGGAAGTACAATGCCTGCACTTTAAAGGAGGGGTTTGGGATATTGGCAGTTTGGAGGGATATGTTGTGTATCTCTATACGTATATGCTTCTAAACTGTTATATTCTGAGCACCTCTGCAAAAGCAGTGATAATGTGTGAGTGTGGTGAAAGTGTTGAATGATGATGAAAGTATTTTCTTTTTGGGGATTTTCTTTCTTTTTTTTTGGGTCACCCTGCCTCGGTGGGAGACGACCGACTTGTTGAAAAAAAAAAAAAAAAAAGAAAAGATTGGATATCAGATGGGAGTGGATATTTTACAAATGTATGGAAGTGTGCCAAAGTATCAGTATCAGTGGGTATTGTCTAATTTTGATAATAATGGTATATAAAAAAATAGTATCGTCCTATCTTACTAATATGTTAGACACGTGATCTTAAGTGATGAAACTGATATATAGTGAGAGTTATCACAGTTGCTGTCTGCAGATGACACGATGTAAATGTCAAATTTTAATAAGAAAATGCAGAAGCTGGTGGAGGAGTTTGGAAGGTTAGCAAAAATATAAAATGAAATTGAAAGTAAATACATAAAAAATGCCAGGTGATGAAAATGAGTAGACATATGCAGGGACTGAATGATTAGAAGTCAGGAGGAAAGAGCAAGGAGGTGGATATATTTAGATACACTACTTAAGAGTAGATAAATCTGATGAATCTATGAAGGGAGAGGCAAATCATTAAAATCAGAATAGAGGGTAGCTGTTTCAGTGAGAAGCATGATAGTGCTGACTTGAGTTCATCCTAGAAAATGTTTGTTCACATATGTACCTTTACCCAAACATTAAAAAAATTAATCCTTGGAGCATGAATTTTTAATTATGGAAATTCCCATAAACTGGGAAACTTCAGTGACTGAATTGCTCCAAAATAAATGGATAACACTGCAGGTCAAAAAGATTAAGATGAAGGTTAATTGGGGTTTAACCAACATCAACTGATACAGTAGAGGTGAATACAGACATGTCACGGTTCATCATTTTGAAATCTCTGAATCTCCGTATCTTACCGTAATACGAAGACTAATTTTTAACATTTTTGTTACACATAGTAAAGTTGAAAAGACAGTTATCTGCTTGCTTTTACCTTACAAGATAAAAACTAATTTTATCTTGAATATGATGACATTTCAATCTAAATCATGCAAAAAGGAACTAAATCATGAGCAAAGGTTCCTATTCTAGCAGTTTGGTATCAAGATCATTCATGTGGTCCACAATATCTACAACAAATGCAAGACCACAGAGTCTATTCATATCATTCAGATGTGTGAAATTAACCTAAAATGCATATACACCTATGTAAAATCCTTCATTAAATGCATCAAGTGTATTTAGGTTCGCTGCTATGACTGCCGAATACCCGATCCTCATTACCAAATTAAGACAAAATGAATTATATCTAAAACTGGAGATGCTCTAAATTTTTTAAGATTGATAGACACAGTGAAGGGCCAGGAAGAATTTCTTGGCATTACAGAAATGGACCATATTTTGCTCATCAGTTTTAGACAGTACTGAAGTGTTATCTATATTGTATTAGTAAATTTCAAAGCTATTTAAAATTTACACTAAAAATTCATGACAAAGTCATCCATTAATTACCAAATCAAGGAGGTTGGGCGTGCACGACTACCATTAGGAGGTAAAACCAATACATCATCTGTTTTAAAGCGATGATCCTGAGAGATGTCAGGATCTAGCCGACTTCCCAGAGGTACAATAAAGAGAGTGCCATCTTCACCTGAAACACACAAGACATATTAGCCAACATAAATGTCACTAATTTTTTTATCACACTGGCCATCTCCCACCAAAGGTAGGGTGACAAAAAAAAAAAAAAGGTAGAGGGGAAAGAAGCATTAGCGATCAGTCATTCAATAGCTGTTTTGCCAGAAGTGCACAGACATCACAATTTAAATAATCCTCTGAAGTGTGACTTCTGCACCGCCACCACCTCCCAAAACATTTCTAAATGCAATAGAACCTTATGAATAAAATTCACAATTTCCTTATGTTTAAAGTACAGGAAACCCTCGATATAATGGACTAATAGGGAGAGGACTGTCTGGGTATCCTAAATCAGCACACTTAAAAATTAGCAAAAAAAAAAAAAAAAAACTGCATATCTAATACAGTACTGTGTATACAATTTACAATTATACCACAATATCATTGGAAATAATGGAGTTAAAAGTACAATTTACCCAGTGGATTTCGCCCATTATTTTTGGAAGTCTGTTATACTGAGGTACTGTAATTACACTAGGGAGTGAACTTATTAAAACGCACCAAATTTGCATTATAATTCAACTACTCACTTGCAACCACTAGCCATTCTGCTGTAGGGCTAAAGGCTAAAGCAACAGGCTTCCTGTTTTCTTCACTTGTCCAAGGTATCCTTCTAGTGGCTGACTCCCCATCTCGATGGCTGAAGATGATTATGTCACCACCACTGTAATGATATATATAGCATCCAGGTATCAACCTTGACCCAAAGAATAACACAGTAGTAGTATTTCACTTAAATGGAAGAATTAAAACAGACTGCCCCTTCAACCACTGTCCTGCTGTACTCATGTAATCTGATCACAATATGTTTAGAGTTTGAAATTTGAACAAATTAACTAGGTTATCCCTCCTTCAAAAAGGTAGATATGATCAGTTTAAAGTCTTGCAGCTCATTTTTTGGATGTAAATAAATCTACTTTTGCATATTTCTCTACTGTTTGCTTCAAATAACTAAAATACAGAATTCCATTACCTGATGTTTTTACTGATGGTAACCCATTATTTGCAGATATTTTTGCAGTACCCACTGTTTTGGAGCTTAGCATAAAAACCCTAAACTGAAAACAAACCATAGGATTTCATTCCAAATGCATTCATTGTCTTCCCCAAAGATCTCTTTGTTTTTTCCCCTGGTCATTCTACATTGTCAATATTAACCAGACTGAAGTAATATTTAGAGAGAGTGAGCGAACCTCTGAACACAAACTGAGACTATATCTGAAATAAAATTTATTAGGCAGACAAAATTTAGCATTTTTCACAGATTCTAGATTCATGAGGCCTCTAGGAACATAACCCCTAATGAATTTAGGAGTTTAGCAGTACTGTATTACACTGTAAATTTCACCAATATTCACACTGTATATGAAAATACAGAGTATACAGTAGTAGTGATGACATGGAAAGAAAAATGACTCCAGTGGAACCTCAGTTTTCGTAATTAATCTGTTCGAAAAAGTCTGACGAACACCGAACTGTATGAAAACTAAAGTAATATTTCTCATAAGAAATAATGTAAATCCAATTAACCCATTCCAGACACCCAAAAATATTAACAAAAAATACATTTTATAGAGAATAACTATAGTTTTACATGCAGAAAACAATGAGGCGTTAGGTCGTCAGGGTCAGCCTCTAACCCTTCAAAATCCTTCTTGAGGATACATTCTGGCCACAATTTTCTCCAGGCAGAGTTTATCGTCCTGGAAGTCACTCCCTGACGAGCCTTATATAACTATAAGGCTTATGCAATTAAGGATATTGAAGCAATTCCTCCAGAACTCTCTTAAGGTCAATTCAGTTTTTGAGGTCACTTCAAAGTACCTCTGAAACAGTGCTTTGGTGCTAGTGTTTTTCTGAAGTTTGAAATGACCTGCTGGTCCATGGGCTGGATGAGAGGAGTGGTATTAGGGGGCAAGAACTTCACTGTGATGAAACTAAACTCCTCTAACAATTGGTCTTCCAAGCCTGGAGGATGAGCAGGAGCATTCTCCATTACCAGGATGCACTTGAGTGGCAACTGATTTTCCAGGGGGTATTTCTCCACACTCAGGCCAAACACATTTACCCCTTTTGCAACATCAGCTTCCTTGATTTCTTTTTTCTTCACCAGGATAGAACTGATCATTGATGTGGATTTACTGTACATCTTGGCAAGATCAGCCACGTGTTTGCCACTTTCATGCTTTGTTATGAGTTCTTTCTTGAATTCTATCGTGTTTCTCATTTTCTTGGCCCCTTGGTGGCTTATTTAGCAGTCGCACTCAATAAACAAGCACAAAAAACAATGGATTAATAGAAAATGCTTCAGATGAACACTCAGGGTGATGCTCACTCAATGAGAAACAAAGGCAGACTGAGTCATTAACACAAGGGATGCTTTGTGTGGGCACTCAATTCCGGGAAATGAGTGGCTGAGTCACACACACAGGCGGACGAGTTTGGTACGGACCATTTTCAAGTGTATGAAAACCGAGTGGATGTACAAAAACTGGGACAAAATTTCAAAAAAAAAAAAAAAAATTAGTTGAACACCAAATCGTGCGAAAACTAGGGCATACGAAAACCGAGGTTCCACTGTACTTGCTATTGTCTTTTTTTATGAAAAGAGTGAAAGATGCAGCATTAAGTCATTCAGCTTACCTTGTAGCAAGAGCAGTGGTGATGGCTCTGGGTGTAGTGGAGGTGGTGGCAGTGGTGAAGTGGTTGCCACGAAGTCCACCCACCAGCCGCACCACCTCATAAATACCCCCTACCATCGCACCATTCACCTGAAATTCATAATTAACATATACTTTATGTTCATAAAAGATAGGGGCATATTTACACAATGCTATACAGGTGTATTTTATCTCATACAGATCAATGAGGTGAGAGAAGCAAATTAACATTTTTATTCCATCTCCTCCTATTATGTGTGCTTTCTTTCCCCCCATGATATGGGCTGGGCCAAAGATCTTTCCCCTCGTGCATTAACCTGCATATGGTCATTCTTACCCACTAAGTGCTTAGTTATTTGCTTTGTATGGAACACTGATTAAATATATTAAATGCTAATAAAGAACAACCCCTCATTCTATACAATAAAATTATCACAATATGATTATTGAAGAGTATAACATGCAACAGTTGGGAATCTTTATTGTTGCATACTTGTTGGTATTACAGTGGACCCCCGGTTAACGATATTTTTTCACTCCATAAGTATGTTCAGGTGCCAGTACTGACCGAATTTATTCCCATAAGGAATATTGTGAAGTAGATTAGTCCATTTCAGACCCCCAAACATACACGTACAAACGCACTTACATAAATACACTTACATAATTGGTCGCATTCGGAGGTAATTGTTATGCGGGGGTCCACTGTATATACCATTTTAAACAAACATGATTTGGACCTTCCATTAAGTACTGCAAACCACACCTGTTTTGGAAGTTTAGTCACCTGTGACCAGGGAGGTCACAGGTGACTAGTTTTGAGTCCTTCTGCTCCTGCAGCCCAGCCTGGGACAACGCTTTTCTGGTGCTTGCCTGGTCAACCAGGCTGTTGCTGCTGACATCTCTCTGGCTCACATATCCATCACAGCCTGGTTGATCCTGTACTTGAAGGAAGAGATTGAATTTCCTCTTGAAAACTTCTTCACTTGTTCTTGTAGTATTTCTGATATCTGCTGGTAATTATGCTGAAAAGTCTAGGCCCATGGATGTTGATACAGCATAGGGTTTTTATACTGTGTCCATGGTGTCAATATTTTTCACTCAAGAGCAGCATTCTCTAATATTGCAGAGAGACTAATAGCCCAAAAATACACCAGCACTTTAGGCTAGAAGCTGCTCAGAAAATGCATTAAGTTATCAAATTGAAGATTTGAAGCCGACTGGATTAATCATTCATTAGTTATTACACAAAAACCAAAATGGTATTTAAATTTTTCCAATTTCATCAATAAATATGCCAATTTGGAATCATCATAGCTGAAAATCAATATAAATCTTTCTCAAAGATATACCAGTGTTCAAATTTTGAAACACTAGAACTGAAGGCATGTTCTCTAAATGTAAATTTGCACCTACACAGCCTAAACTCAAAAGGTGTCATCATCCTCCCACAACACACAAGCCTTAAGAGATACACAATCCACACATAGAAGAGGGGAGCTTACGATGACGTTTTGATCTGACTTGGACCATTTACAAAGTCACACTAACGAAAAGGAGAGAAGGATGGAGTATATATAGGCAGGAGGTGGTTGTGGTAGTAGTGGAGGTAGAAGGTAGTAGTGGAGAAGGTAGTAGGTGGAAGGAGTTAGTCAAATACTAAGAAAGAGAAGCACAGCCAGGGAGCTAGGGGTCCACAGAGGGTAAGAGCAAGAACACAGAGAGGGGAAAAATAAATAATGAAGGAACAAATACCCAAGGCAGAAGACAACCCAAAGGAGAAAAAGGGAAAGAGGAAAAAGGAAGAGGGAGAAGAAGAAAAAATAAATGTTACGTCACGGGTGTTCTGAAGTTTGGAGCATTTTACAATGTAGTGGGAAAGGAAGGCATCTACAGAGACAAAGCCAGGACTAAGATTCATACAAGGAAAGTTGTGTATAAGGGAGGATTCAACCAGATGGTGACTGTTAAAGTTGGAAATAGGGAAGACAGTTTTAGCAGAAGACCAGTCATTAGGATGACTGTGATCTCTGATGTGACAGAAAAGAGCATTGTCAGTGTCGGCAAGCCTAACACTACTTTTGTGCTCCCTAAGTCTGTCAGAAAGAGATCGGCCAGTTTCTCCAAAGTACTGAAGAGGACAGGAGGAACAAGAAATAGAGTAGACACCAGGAGCATCTATAGAGGGAGGAGAGGTATGAACGAGATTAGTGCGAAGAGTGTTAGTCTGGAGGAAAGTAAGTTTGATGTCTAAGGAATGGAGAGAGTTGTTGAGATTAGAAAGACTGGAAATGTAGGGAAGGCAGAAGACTGAGAAGTTCCCAGGAGTAGAGAGTTTGGGAGAGAGGAAATTATGTTTAGCATGTGAGAAGGCAGAGTCTATGAAATGGGAAGGGTAGCCAAGACGGGAAAATGAATTACAAAGAGTGGAAATTTCTGATTGAAGGAACTGAGGATCACAGATGTGGAGAGCAGAGAGAAAGAGGGAGATAAGAACACTTATCATTACAAAGGAAGCATGATAAGAAAAGTAATTAATGTACGTGCCACTGTGCATAGGCCTGTGGTAAAAGGAAAAAGCAAAACCTGTATCTGAGCGGTGGACGTGGACACCAAAGAAAGGAAGCAAGGAATTAGATTCTCCACTACTACCTTCTACCTCCACTACTACCACTACCACCTCCTGCCTATATATACTCCCTCCTTTCCTTTTTGTTAGTGTGACTTTGTTGGTCCAAGTCGGACCGAAACATCATCGTAAGCTCCTCTCTTCTATGTGGGGGTTATCTGTGTATTGTTCCAGTCATGGTATTGTGCCTTTTTTTGTAATTTAAGCCTTAAGAGGTATACTCAAGTTATTTTAGAGACAAAACCACACACTTTAAAAAATATAAAGTACCAAATTGTCAAAACACACAATTAACCCTTTCAGGGTTGGTGCCGTACTAGTACGACTTGCACGCCAGGGTTAGTGCCGTACTAGTACGCGTAAATTCTAGTGCCTTCAAATCTAGCAAGAGAAATCTGGTAGGCTTACATATGAAAGAATGGGTCCATGTGGTCAGTGTGCGCAGTATAAAAAAAATCCTGAAGCACGCAGTGCATAATGAGAAAAAAAAATTCCGACTGTGTTTTTGGTTTAAAACAGCGACTTTGCAGTGTATTTTCGTATGCTATTTATGGTTGTATTCTAGTTTTCCTGGTCTCATTTTATAGAATGGAAGACGTATTATGGAAATTGAGATGATTTTGATTGGTTTCACAATGAAAATTACCTTGAAATTGAGCTCAAAGTAGCAGAAATGTTCGGTTTTTGCCAAAGTTCAAAGGTAAACAAATCATGCCATGCATCCAATACACGTCAACTGGTGAGTCTAATATTCTTTCACAGGTGTGCTGATATTATTTATACCATTTCTACACCATTTCAACACTAATGCAGTAGTCTGCATAACATAAATCTTCTATTTTTTGCGAGAATAAAAATTCAAAGTGGAAAGCAAAAGAAATTTAACAGAGGCCTGGGGACGTGAGTAATGAACAGAGGAAATGTTAATTTAGTGCCAGGAATGTCTGGCTTGTTTTTTCTGGGCCCTATTTGGAAACTGGCATGTTTTGAAATTTTTGTGAAATTGGCAAAATTGCCAATTTCTGACCACTTTATTGGATAGTTGAAATTGGTAAATGGGTGGTTTCTTGTACTCATTCGATGGAAAAAATTGAGTTCTAGCAAAATAGGTATGATTTTTGTCGACTGGTACATTGGAATTGGCCGAAAATAGGGTTCAAAGTGGGCAAAATCACCGATGTGTAAACATCGTCGAGACTGCTAACTTCGCAAGAGCATAATTCCGTAAATTTTCCATCAAATTTCATACTTTTGGTGCTATTATGATCAGGAAAAGATTCAATCATTTCATAAGAAAAAATAATAATTTTTTTTCTCGAAAAATTTCCGACCCTGAGAACAAGTTTAGGAGAGAGCCTGCCGACCCTGAAAGGTTTAACAATCCCTACCTTCTTCTAAACAGGGTATATCAGTGCTGAAAGCTTACTCAAGTTGTTGGTGGGAAAACAAACTCAGGAATGGTCTACATAACAGTGACCACAGAGCACCTGCACATGCCAATAGTTGCATGAACTTTTTCCTGATTATAGTACACCAACCAGGGCCAACTCAAAAAAACTGTGGTGCCCTGAGTTAATCTTGCTTTTTGTGTCTGCACGAATCCCATTTTTTATATGAAGTTTGGAGTTTAAAAATTAAAAAAAATTATATGTAGTTTTGTTCATTTCATTCAGTACAGCTACACCTCTCTCCTCTCACATCTTTCTCACCTCCACATACATTTTCTATGTATGATTCCTTTTTTAAACTGTTCACTTATGTCTTACAGTTCACAAGCAGTATTTTGTCTTATTTTCTGTTGCTCTTCTTCACTCATGAAGCTAGCTCTGACACCTGTGTCGAAAATTTTGAAGTCAATCGAATGTGGCAGTCTCAAGTTATAAACCAAAACTTTGGAGGAAGGAAAAAAAAAATATTGCCAACCACTTGAGGATACCCTCTTAGGGATACCCAAAAAATGCATGTTATGGAGAAACACAAGTAAGTCTACAGTGGTTTATGAGGAAGAGGAAGCTCACATCAGCAGTTAATAACTGCACCACTGGGAGTGCTATACCACTGGCTGCAGGCAAGATAGGCAAGGTTATTTTTTTTAATTCTTTTATATTATTTATCATACACTGACTTTTTTGTACATTATATTTTCATTTTATTCATGTATAGTGGGCTTGTATTTGTATGGTATAGATTGATCAAAAGTCAGAAGATGAACTCAATTTTTTCTTCTTCCACTGCCCTCACCAAACTTTTCTTAATTCCCAACCAAACTCTTCCCTTTCCTTTTACCTTTCCATTTCTCATCAAAATTCTCCTCTTAACCCACAATTATCTTTGTGCCTCCACCTAAATTTTTACCTTCCAAGAATTTTTTTACCACACCAAACTTTCTTCTCCTTTCCATTAAATATTTCCTTCCCACCCACTCGGTTGGCAGCACACTCAGCTCACACACTAAGTGTCTGTGATTCGATCTCTGGCATGGGTGGAAACATTGGTCATGTTTCCTTACACCTGCTGCCCTTGTTCACCTTGCAGTGTTAGCCTACTGGCATGGGATGCATCCTGTGGGATGATGGTATACCTCAGATAGGGCTGGGCTTTGAAATGAGCTGAGGTTGGATAACAGCTCTTAGCCTGTAAAATTTGTGTAAAAAAAAAAAAAAAAAATCCCCTCACCCTCCAAACTATACATTTCCTTTTCCACCAAACTTTTTCCCCCTTTACCAAAACTTTGTTTTCCCTATTATGTTAAACTTTTTTTACCTTCCACCACCAAACCTAATTTCTGTCCAAACTTATCTTCCTTTCTCAAAACTTTTTTTTTTTTTTTTTACTTTCTCACCAAAGTTTCATCCTCTCCATCAACCATTTTTCTCTGCTCCTGAAAATTTCCTCACTTATCACCAAAATTATTCCCTTTACTAGAAAACAATGATTCCCCCCCCCCTTCTTACCAAACTTTGTTTTCCCCTTCTAAGCTTTTTCTCTCCTACCCATACCTGACTTTCTTCCTCCCTTTCCCCCAATGAACACTCTTTCTCCCCTTTTGGTCAACCAAATTTAATTCCCCACACCCAACAAGAACTATTTTCTCTCCCACCAAGCTACATTCCCCTTCCCCCCCCCCATAAAAAATCCAACCATTCTCATTTCCCCCTTGAAGAAATAAATACTATTTACAGATGTGCCTAAAATTTATGTGAAGCATCAGACTGAAGAGGATTACTAGATGACAGGATTAAAGGAAGATGTACAACAGTGAACAGGCCACAAGATCATATTTAAATATGGCAGCAGTGAGGCTTCCCTGTCATGGCCACCCTCTTAGAGGAAAATTGC